ATCTCGTCCTGGTATAGGACTCCTCAGCAGCGCGAATCCACAATCCAGCACATACGACTCGAACTCATGATCTGCGGTCTCGCACGCAAACGCTTAACTTCTAGATCACTGAGCTGTCATCCATCGGTATTAACGTCCAACTTCAATCTATTCATGATCTTGCACAACTCTTTGTTATTTTAGTTTCAAGATATCTTACATCAATGATTAACTTCAATCAGGCAATCACTAAAAGCTGAACACTATCGACAGCCGTTTTGTTGTATTTTGATATTTCTCACGAGTCCTTAACTACACTTGTAAAAGGGATCAAACTCAAACACTTTTAGGTCTATTATAATAATCAACTGCTCACTAGTGACTGACTTCAGGAGATACTCCTGGAATTCCAGTGAGAAGCCTTTACCAGTGGAGTTCAACCAAGTCTGTTGTGAGATATCAACTCACTAAATACAATGGTGTACGGTGGCGCAACTTCGTGGATTGGTTGGAGTCAGACATTAACACCGTCGGATGCCGGCTCAGTGGTGTAGTGGTTAATTGCTCGCGCGCGTAGCCAGTAGGTCCTGGGTCCGAATCTCGTGCGGTGCGGGATCGCGGATGCGCACTGCTGAGGGGTCCCATACTAGGACAAAACGGCTGTCCAATGCTTCAAGGTTTTCCATGGTGATCTAGCTTCAGTTGACTAATGATTTCAACCTGTGGAACTTTTAGGTCTTACAAAGAGTATAGTATCTTCCGACTATTTATTTGTAGTTCAGTGCTTCACACTTTAAATTTCAATCAGTTCGTAATTTCAACATTTCATCTTATTATGCTGAGCCTTTCTTTCCTTCTTTATCGTCATAATGAATATTCAAGAGCTTAACAATAAAACTATTATTAGTTACCATGATGAAAATGAAATTTTAATACCTTTGCTTATTCTACTTCACTCTTACAATGTTTAACAGAATTTTCTTATCACCATTATTGAAATTATTATCAAGATAAGCTTCAAAGATGAATCTATCAAAAAGATAAATCTTCACTGAATCAGTTTTTATTTTATGTCTTTATGGGTATTTTACATGACTATCATGTTTCTCAACTGACGATACCTATAACCTTACTGTCATAGTTAAGGAGCTCTATATTAAAACGAAATTACTGATCACTGTTTCATAATTTTTGTAAGGACAACGTATGGGTGAACTCGAAGATCTTCTAAGAAGCTCAGAGAGAACCGAAGTTATTCCATCCAATCATCTTTTGGAAGAATATTCTAAAATCTCGACGTGTAAATTTCATATCGGATAAATATTAAAATCCCCTATACCATAATTGACGCTATCTGGAATAGCATTCCTTTCACTTGTCTTCTGTCTTCTTCATTTGAGACTTGGGAGGATTCTGTCATTCGAGTGGTCAATTTATACACTGTATATCAAAGAATCTAAGCTCTAGATATAACAATTTCTCAAAGATGATTCAACTTTAAGTCAGTTCATAATATACATTTATGATCATGAACCGATTGATGTTAGACCACCATTGGAAACCTGGAAGCAGTGAACGACCATTTCGTCTTATTGTGGGACTCTTCAGCAGTGCGCATCCACGAGCTCGCTCAAGGGATTCGAACCCAGGGCCTTCGGTCTCGCGCACGAACCCTTAACCTACTGAACCACTGGGCCGACATCCAATGGTGATAGGGTCTAACATTTAAAATATTTAAAACAGAATGATTCATTATAAAGTGCATTAATCAAGAATAGAAATATACCTCAAACTATACTTTCATCCAAATAGAACATGTCAATCAAAGAATAACATAAACATCAATAAAGAAAGTCATTCAATAGAATAGAAGAAGCACTATTAATATTTCACTTTATAACTATGGTTCACTAATGGGAACAATCTATTAATTGAATTAGTTCATAGGGATGATAAGATTGTTTAAGAATAACAGTCATATATGAATGACAATGATGGTTTTTTTTTCCATTTTATCTTTTGTTTTCATCAATCTATTTACTGGTATCATTTACATTTCAATTAAAATAAACAATTTCTCTTTTCGATATGCTAGTACTCTGGCGGGGGGAGGACAGACGGAAGGGGTGAGAGAGGGGGGTTGTCATATATAATGCTATGCAAGTTTAGTAAACAGTTTATTTAGTTTAATATACAAATAAACTAAATTTTCATAAGAATTTTAAGTAATTAGATAGTTGTATCCTTCTTAAATGTTTATTTCCATGAAAGGAAATCAAGTAGGAGATATAATAGAAGTGATATATATCAGTTGAAACGTGGAGAACTACTACAATCATCTTCAAGAAGGTACAAGTATTTATAAACAGTTTCTATGCAAGATATTCAATATCGGTTGTTGACCGGATACCATCAGTAATAGCCTATTGTGGGAGAAGACAAACTAGCTTACAGATGAGGAGGAAATCAGGAAAAGAGGTTGAAAGTGGATAGGACATATATTACGGAAATCATCAAACTGCATAATTAAACAAGCTCTAATTTGGGACTCTCAAGGGAAAAGGAAAAGAGGGAAATCAAGGAACACACTGCGTTGGGAAGTGGAAGCACATATGAAAACAACGAATTGTAACTGGAAGGAATTAGGAAGGATTACTCAGGACAGAGTTGGATTGAGAGTGCTGCTGATCGGTCTATGCTCCTCCAGAAGGGATGACAGGCGTAAGTAAGTAAGTAATATATGAATCCGTTAGTAAAACCTAGAGAAAGTAGTAATTTCCATTAAAATAGTAATTGAATTAGAAGAAAATGAGAAAAAACACTTCTACAGTTGTTGTTGTTGTTATTAGAGACTCTTTGTTTGAATTTTTTTGGTCATTATCCATACGGAACAGCTGCTTAATGATACTTTTTTTGGATTTGGCGTTAAGTGAAATTCAACTTTTCGACTAATTGTCATGTCTTTAACTTAAGATGTATCGATTGTGATGCCTTCTATGTTGGAGAGTCATCTGGACTCGAGCCAAAAAACATATTAGGTACACAAGCAAATCACTTAATAATCCCGTAGGATTGGATCGACGTCAAATTCAATCAGCATTAACAATTCACATCATTTTCAACAATCATCAAATCGATTTCAAAAATATCAAAATATTACAAAACGTTTTGGCCAAATAAAAAGAAAGAGGAGTAGCTGAACTGTTCCATATAATGCTTAATCTTACTACTCTCAATAGAAAAGAAGGCCTCACTATCTATCCGACTTGGACTATCTATCCAAGATACCATGTCTGATATTATTCATATTTAACATTATTGTCTTACATACAAATTAAATTCTTTACTTTCTCATCACAAAAGTCACATTTTCTCTCATCCCTGACTCTGTACATATATACACACAGATACAAACTTACACACATATCGGTTATAAATCAGCTTGACCAAAATGACATGACATGGGCTTGTTCAGACCTGTTTTTGATTGATCCTACCTAATATTCTTGTTTTGTTTCTTTGTACTATTTAAATTTCGATTAATTTCTATCTGGTTATTTATCGTCTGAAGAAGTCGCTTAAACTGAGTGACGAAACGTCAAAAAACTTCATTTTTCTACTCATGAAGATATCTACAAATCTGTCAATCAACTACTAATCTATGAATCGATCATGTGTTGAAAATGTGTTCAACATACACAAACTAAGATTAACTAAGTGTAAAGCTTTACTTACATAATCAGATAAGCTTCGATCCGAAATATTAACGGTACTTGCTAACTAATAGTCTGTCTATTCAGTATTATAATTAGAGGTTTGTGAAGGTGGACAATTGTGTAGATTATTGATTGGATAGCCAATACATGAACGTGTTTAATGGACAACATGTGAATAGCTCAAACAATATCACAACAGTAGAGTACATTAGATCAATCGACATATTTGGCAAAACCATAACTTATGGACGACCTTTAGGCCATACCAAAATGACTGTGGGTAGGTTCATCTACCTAAATTGATATTGGGACTTCAAATAAACATTAGAGTTATCAATTAGATTTTGAGTTTTAATTATTAACTGACATCAACTATAAATGGTGAAATGCTCTTTGACCATATGGATGAATGAATTTCGCGCCAAAATCTAAGATATTAATTCTGTTTTGTTCGTTTAAATTAGTTTTTTTTATGGTTAGTCTTTAAATGAAATTTCAATTTATCGTTATTCATAATTGGGATCATGAACCAATTGATGTTAGACCACCTTTGCAAACCTGGAAGCACTGGACGGCCGTTTCGTACTAGTATTGGACTCCTCAGCAGTGCGCATCCACGACCCCGCACCCCGCGGGATTCGAACCCGGGACCTACTGGCTTCGCGCCTGAGCACTTAACCATTAGACCACTGAGTCGGCATCCAATGGTGATAGTGTCTAACATCAACATCAACTTCCATTGTACTGAGGTAGATACCTGTCTTTACCCGACACGGATTAGCTCCACTGGTCACAGCTGTCTAGTGCTTTCAGGTTTTCAATGATGGTCTAACATCAATCGGTTTATGATCTCAATCAAAAACTTAATAATTTCCACAACCCCTATACTAGTTATTCATAATGTTTTATTAGTTTATTAAACAGGTTTGAATATATTTCTACATTTACATTATGTACATGAAGCTAAGTATATCGATTATGCCATGTGTGTAATTTTACAAGAATTTTTTGAACCATTTCCAATCGGCTTGCTTAAAAGTGAACACTACATATTGACAATTGATTGATCACTGGGTGGTTGGTGAACAATGTTATGTGTGTCAGATCCTTCTTAATGCAGATCAAATGCTATCGATCAAGTTACAATATGGCCATTAGTCTAGATGACTTGATATTACTTACCATACCATAGATTTATCGAAGAATGTTATTATTTCTGATATACAGTTCCCATATTAAAGTTCAATGATCTAATACTTTTTCATGTTGTATAATAAGTTCCTCAAAATTTATGGATCCAATTCA